GGACCCTGGGTCTTCAGACACAGAGTTTCTGCCCTGAAGCGCTCCCTTGACCTACCCATCACCCCACCAGACTCCTTCCTAAAGCATCACTCGAGGGACCGCTGGGTTCTGAGCCCAGATCCACCTTAGACTTTGCCGTGGACCTAGGCCAAGGTCCTTCTCCTCTCTAAGCCTGTCTCCTCACCTACCTCCGTGACCCAGTGGTATTAGGACCACTGATTTGAAGTCTGCCTGCATCCAAATCCCAGCTCCACCACTCCCTTGCTGTGTGACCTTGAGCAAGTCACCTCACCCCTCTGAACCTCAGTTTCCATATCTGTTCTGGTGCTGTAGTGCCTAAGGCATTTGACTACTAACCAGAAGGTTGGCAGTTCAAACCCACCAGCCACTCTGCAGAACGAAGACTGGGCAATCTACTTCTGTAAAGATTTACTGCCTCAGAAACCCAAAGGGGGTCGCTATGAGTCAGAATTGACTCGATGGCAGTGAGGTTGTTTGGTGTTTTTTTTTTTTTTGGGGGGGTATCTGTTAAGGTTGTGGGGATCCAGTGTGATAGCATTTGTAAAGCAACTGGCACAATGCTTGGCAGATAATAAGTGCCCAATGCAAGGTAGCTACTATGATTAAAACCACTGACTTTGTTCTGTTCACTGTAGGGTCCAAGGTAAGATTGTTTCTTCCGCTTCCTGAGAGGGTTGAGGTCAGATGGATGCCAGCATGATTCTCTTGAGAGCTTGGCTGGTGGCTGTGGCCACAGGGGCATGGCCCAGGTCTGCAGCCATGTTAGGCATCACCCACTCACCATAGACCCGTTGCCACCAAATCAGCAGAGCTGTGAATCCAAAGAAGAAGAAGACACCGCCCATCACTGTCTTCCACTCGTTGGAGCGACGGTTCATCTCTGCAAAGGTCTCGTGGAACTGGAGCCGGTACACTGGAGACGGGGTGGGGGAAGAGGCATCAGGTGCATCTGCCCCAGGGACCCTGAGCCAACTCGTGCCCAGGGAATCCCTGGCCTTCCTCTCCCCATAGCAGACGCAGGGCATTCAACGGGGGATCTTGGAACCAGTCCCCCATGGATAACAAGGAATGGCTGTACAAACTTCAGGGGAACAAGGACTCTGTTTACTGGTATATTCCTAGAACAGTGCTTGGTGCTTCCAGTCAATATTTCTAGAATGAATGGATGAACAAATGTCCTACTAGAGATTCTTAGAGAAATCAAGTAGGGCCACTATCCTCAAAGAGATTGGCTTCAGGACAACAGGCATTCTAGGCCAAAGGAACAGCTTGTGCAAAGGCCCTGAGGCAGGAAAGGGTGTGGCACATTCAAGGAACGGGGTGGAAAAAAGTAAAGCTGGAGTTTGGGGCAGTTTTCTCAGGGAAGGTGGGTGGGGATGAAGGTGGGAGGGCACTCATGAGGAAAGATGTGGGGAGGGTATGGTAAGCACAGGGCCTGTTTGGAGAACAGCAAGGAACCTGGAGTTGCTGGGCAGAGGGGACAGAACTTGAAAGCCCCTGAATGTCAGAACCAGGGGTCCAAACCTTAAGCTGTGCCAATTTGGAGGCTGTAGCCTTGGAACAAGGAGTCCTGGTGGTACACTGGTTAAGCAATTGGCTGCTAACCAAAAGGTCAGCAGTTTGAATCCACTGGTTGCTCTACCAGAGAGAGACGCAGCAGTCTGCTTCTGTAAAGATGACAGCCTTGGAAAGCCTATGAGGCTGTTCTGCTCTGTCCCACAGGGTCACTATGGGCAGAATTGAATCGGTAACAATAGGCTTGGTGGTGGTATTTTTCTGTGGCTTTGAAATGTTTTCTTGGAGGACACTCCCTGTCCCTGCCACCCTCTGCATTTGTCCTAATCTTTAAGGCCTGGCCCCAGTAGCGTCACTAAAGGAGTGCGAGGGATGCCAATTGCACCCCCTGACACTGACAGCGAGGGTGACACCAAATGGCCCCAGGGCTCATGGCAATGGGCAGGCTGGCCCTGCAGCGGGAGGAACCACAAGGCAATGGTGTCACTAAGTTCGGTGTCACCCATCACCCAGCGCTGTAACTCGTCATCACTCCATACCCCACCCCTCACCCGTCACCCACCAGTCAGGGTGTGGGTGGGTGGGGTGAAACACCCACCACTGGGCAGAGAGAGGGGTCTCCACCTTGGCCAATGGGAGAGGGGGAGGAGCTTTGGGGAGCCGTTCAGGTGGAGGGGTGCTCAGCCCTGCACAGGGGTGGCACCATGAGTTACCAAACTGGGTGACATCAATCCTAGTGATACCACTGCCTGGCCCCAGCTCCACCTCCTCCAAGAAGCCTGCCTGGATAGCCCCATTTGTCAGAGAATCACTTCCTCCACTGAGCTCCTACCAGAATAGTCAGTCTCTCAAAATGTCTGTGGCTTGGCTGCTTCAGAGCCATGAGCCCCTCACCCGTCTGAGAGCCACCTACCTAATCTCATATGCTCTGGAGTCAGACTGACCATGGGGCTAGTCCTGGCCCCATCACTGCTAGGCTCTGAGCACTTGGGGCAAGTCACTTCAGTTTCTGCGCTTCAGTTTCCTCATCTGTGAAATGGGAAAATGCCTACCCCAGAGGCCCGATGGGAGATGAAGTGGAATCAGGTCATGTGCTTGGCACAGTTCCTGGGACCTTAATCAGCTCTGAATACATAGCACCCACTGCCATCAAGTCGATTCAGACTCACAACAACCCCCATTGGGTTTCCGAGGTGGTAAATCTTTACAGAAGTAGATTGCCCAGTCTTGCTTCTGTGGAGTGGCTGGTGGGTCTGAACCGCCAACCTTCTGGTCAGCAGTCAGATGCCTTAGGCACTGTGCTACCAGAGCTCCTTGAATACATAGTGGCTGATATTATTATTATTATTATTATTATTGCCCTAAAACTACAACCTCACTCCCTTCCCTGCTTGGTTATTACTCTGGGACAGGCCTCTACCACCTCTCACCTGGACCAGCCTGCCCCACTGACCCTCCTGTTTGTCCCTCCATCCATCCAGTAGCCCAGAAGGTGCCTTCTCCAAACACCTGGGTTCAAACCCAACAAACTGAGGCTTAAGGAAAGAAGGTCTGGTTTTCTCGCATGAGAAGCTGGAGGTAGGACGTCCAGGACAGACACAGCTGCTCAGCAGTGCCACCTTAGTTTTTAGACCATGATTACTGTCAAGTGAAATGACAACATGCAGAAGAGAGAGTGAGGGGGCTGCTGTAATGGGAGGGATGGCACGGAACTACACACAGTACTGCTACCTGCACACACTCTAGACTCTATGGAATAATGCATAGGAACCTGTCACAGGGGACTAGGTGGAAGGGAGACGGATTTTTCCCTCTATTCCTTTTTAAACGTTACCTTATCCGTGTAATCGTTTCTCAGAACATTAAATAAATATGAAAATAAATAACTAAACTAAAAAGTCAAAGTGGGCAACAGAATTCCTTGGGGACAGGAACTGTCTTTGGTTTGAGCAAGATCCCCCTGGAGGTAGTTCGGTGTGAAACCATGAGGTCAACCAGTAGAAACCAAAAAAACCAAACTCACTGCATCAAGTCAATTCTGACTCACAGCGGCTCCTCCCTGGGTTTCTGAGGTGGTATCTCCACGGAAGTAGATTGCCCAGTCTTCCTTCCGAGGAGTGGCTGGTCAGTTTGAACCACCAGCCATCTGGTCAACCAGTAGAAGGCATTTGAAACTCCCCGGAGGGCAGGAGGCATCGGTGTGAGCATGGAGAAGGGAACATGTGGGGTGGAGGTGGGGGACAGTGAGGAAGCCCACCCAGCAGGGGATGGGGTCAAGGGCCAAAGCCCTGCTCTGTCCAATGGTCAAAGTTAAGTTGTTTGCTGAGCTCTGAGGCTTCACTGGAACTCACGAAGCAGCCCACCCAGTTTCCAGTCCATCTTTAGTCTCTAAAGATGTAATCCCTGGATCCAGGTTGTATGGGTTCAAATCTGGCATTCACCACTCTCTGGTTGTGCTACCATTCACAAGTGACTGCATCTCTCTGAGCCTCAGTTTCCTCAACTGTGAGATGGGGCTAGTGGCAGTGCCCACCTCCACAGCAGCGTGTGCTACATGGTAAGTGCACAGGAAACACTAAGGATTGTGCTTAATACCATCTTGCTTTGTGTGTGTGTGTGACTTTGGTGAAATGAAATAAGGGCAGTAGTGTCCATTTCTGAAGTGGAGGAAGAGAGAGAATAAGATGCTAGAGAGAGCTGAGAGGAAGGCAAAGACTGAGGGAGAAAGGCAAGGAGGAACCCGGCTTGCTCACGACCATGCTCCCAGAGCCTGGCATTGAAGCAGGCGCTCAGTAGGTTGTTGAGTGAATAAATGGAAGAATCATGAGCATCTATCCCCCACAGAATCCCCTGAGATACTGGAGATCAGGCTGGACCCAAGGCTCCAGACATCAAAGGGTCCTCCCAGGGACATTTCTGCTGGGCAGGACTTGGGGACCGAATCCCTCTCAACCCCCAGGATCAGGTTCCTGTCCTCCACCCACCTCACCTGCCTCCCTCTGCTCCAATCCCCCCCACCACTCAATGATGCCCACAGACCACCACACTCTCTGCCCGTGCACCCTTCCCCATTCTGTTCCCATTGCCTGGCAGTACCCCCCTCCTCACCCTTGAAGGCTTGCTGGAATGTGCCCTCCTCTTTGAAGCCCACCAGGTTCCACCCCTCTCTCCTTTGGGTCCTTCACAAACCCTTGGACACACTTCATCCTAACCACATATCCTGTATTCCAGTTATGGGGTCTGTGTTGGTTTCCCCCACTGGACTGGGAGCACTCTGAAGGCAGGAACCAGGGGTGATTCACCTTTGTCCTCAGGATCACCCAGCCGTGCACAAACAGGACCTTCTGAATAGTGTTGTATGAATCAAAGAATGAATGAATGAAGAAATGAATTAACTTCACGCTTTGGATGTACATTCAAGGCGTTGGGATTCCTCCCTGCTCTACTGCTCCCTGACAGGCCCTTCTTTTCAGCCACACACAGACACTCTCTCTCACACACACACATGTACACACTTTCAAACACACAATCTCTCATAAACACACACAAGCACAATCCCTCTCTCTCTCTCTCATACACATGCACTCACAGCACCCCCACTCTCCCTGTCCAGCCCTGCCCTGAGACCTACGGGCCACCTTCTCCTCATGGGTCAGCTGGGTCCAGCTCCCCTTCTCCTTCTCCTTCAAGGCCCGCTGCTCGGCGCTGAGCTCTGTGCAGAAGGGCTCGTCCGGCATCGGATAGGAGCGCTGGGCATGGTAGCTGGTATACGGGGGCATCTTCCCCTCACTCCGGGCTGTGGGCACAAAGGAGGGAGCTGAGTCCTGGCTGCCCTCAGCACACCCTATCTCTAACCATACTATTGATAAAGAGGGCTGCATTTATTGAGCACTGCCAGCCAGGAAGGAGCTCTGATAGCATAGTGCCTAAGGCACTGGACTGCTAACCAGAAGGCTGGTGGTTCAAATCCACCAGCCACTCCTCGGAAGGAAGGTTGGGCAATCTACTTCCCTAGTGATACTGCCCCGGAAACCCAAGGAAGGGTCGCTATGAGTCGGGTCCAACTTGATGGTACATAACAACAGCAACAAGCTGGCCAGGAAGTATTCTAGGGTCTCCAGGTGTGTTCACTCCTTCTACTCTGCATCACTCTGAGCCAGGGTTCCTGACAAAACTGAGCAGCTACATGACTTGATGAAATTCACAGAGCAAGAAGTGGCAGGGCCAGGGTTATGCCCCCAAGGGCTCCCTGTGGGTCTCTGGGGTGCCCAGAACAAGGCTGGGCACCGGGAAGAGGAGGTGGTCTCCATAAATACATTAATCCACAGAAACTGCTTATCGTAGTGTGAGGCACATAGTAAGGGCTCAATAAACATTAGTATTATTATTCTCTTGAGGGTCAGGAAGGCCCTTCTATTATCTGGCTAAAGTCTCTCTTGTTTAGGCCTCTCTTCTGAGAAGCACTGACGCCATGGTTTGGAAAGGAAGATTCAGAGTCCAAGGTTCCTTCAACACCCTCTGCCTTGGGACCCAAGAGCCTTGGGGGCCTGCGGTTTGAGGGTCAGGCCTGGCGGAAGCCTGAATGGAGGGCCTGCTCTGTCTGCTCACCCTGCAGGCTCCATTTCCTGGAGGAATTTGACTCAGGCCCAAAGAGTGGAATCATGGAAAGTGGTTTTTGGGCAGGCACTGGGTGGCATGGGAGGGGCAGCCTGCAGACAGGATCCATTTGCTCCAGCCCTGGAATCTGGGTGAGAGAGGGGGGCCTAGGTCTTACCGGTGTCTCCTGGACTGTGTATCCCTCGAATTCTGAATGGCATTCCGAGTCCTTTTTTTATCAGCACCAGGCTCCAGGTGGCTCTGGACAGCATCTGGGGTGTGCATGTTCATGAGTCCTGCCCCCAGGGCTCTCTGCCCCTCACTGTGAAAACCCAAACTCTGAAACTCTCTTTCCCAGGTGTGTGTTGGGAGAGGGTGTCCGAGAAGTTCAAGGTCACCCTCATGCCCCTGATCTTTGTAATTTTCTCTGATTAACCCAAGCAAGGAGGTAGGGGTCCTAGATATTTGGACCCCCCTCCTAGTACCTCATTTCATCATCTGAGAAGTTGGGAAGGGACTGAAACTTGGGGCTGGGGACCTGGATTCTGCTTCCAGCCTGAGCGGGGGATCCCCCTCAGTTGCCGATCCCCAGAAGAAACGGTGAGAATCAAGGTAGGGAGGGAGGGGGCAAGTCCTGGAGCCACCTCTCTTCCCAGCAGGGCCATCTGCCAAGTCTCTGTCCAGAAGGTCTGGTCCCCACTCTTTCCCCCCTAATTGGCTGCCTACGTGCAGGAGAGCCCTGCTCTGCTGGATCTCGCTGGGGGGAGGGGGACAGGCTGAGCCCAGCCCCCCAACCCCAGGGAAGTCGCAGAGTCTAGCATCCTATAGGTGTGGGGAGGGAGTGTAGAGGAGGGCAGGGGCCAAACCGGGTCGGAGAGAGGGAGAGAAGCCCCCATCCGGGGAGGGAAGGGAGCATCCCTCTTCTAAAAGAGAGAGAGGCCCCCACATCTGGGAGAGAGAGGGATGCCCAGCAACTAGAGAGGACGTATACCAATTTGGGGAGAGGGAAGGGTAATCTACATTTGGGGAAAGAGACGGTGCCCCATTTGTGGATAGAGGATAAATCTTAAGGAGTCCCCAACTCTGACCGACCAGAAGCCCCCTCCTTCAGGGCAGTGACCACAGGAGCCTGCCCAGGTGGCAGAAACAGGGCCCAAGTCGCAGTCTCCACCCATCCGGGCTTGGGCAGCCGGGGGTGCTCCCACTCACCTCGTGGGCTCTGCAGGAGCGGGACAGCCACCGGAGTCTGCGGAGCGGAGCGGTAACGGAGAATCAACAGATGGCAGCCGAGGGACCTGAAGGCGGCGCTGGGCCCCGGCTCCGCCCCACAGCCTTCTCCAGGGCCGTCCCCTCTTGGGACGTCCTGCCTCCTCGGGGCGTGGGAGCGCCCAGCCGGCGTCCCTGGGGGCCACAGCCTGAGGGGAAGGACTGAAGAATGACTCCTCACCTCAGTTTCCCACCCAGGGAGGGTCCTGCCTCTGGAAACCCTCAACTGACAGCGCCCCGGGGCCAGGCCAACATTGACCATTAGCAGGAATCTTCCTGCCTCCACACCTTTGCTCACTGCTGTACCCTCCACCCTGAAATGCTTTCAGCCTTTGCAGACCCAAATCTTCCAGCTAAGGCCCAATGCCTCCTCCTCCAGAAAGCCTTCAAGAATTTGGAAGTGGCCTGTGAACTCCTGCTGAGCTTCAAACTTTTGCTGTGTGACCTTCAGCAAATAACTTAACCTCTCTGAGCTGCTGTTTTATTTTGTTTTTTTCTTTTCAATGAAAGAGAGCTACTGATAGCTCCTACTTCACAGGGCTGATGTAAAAACTGAATCAGTTAATAGAAAAGCATCAGACACATTTATCCAAGATTATTTATTACGATCTATTGCAGCTGGGAGTCCCTGGGTTGTACAAATGGTTAACACTGGTGCTCAGCTGTTAACTAAAACACTGGAAGTTCTAATCCACCCACAGGGGCCTAGGAAGAAAAGTCTGACATACACGGGGTCGCTATGATTCAGAGTAACCTTGATGGGAACTGGTACTGGTATTACAGCTGGCATTGACAGTGCTGAGTATCTGATGTTTACTGGGCTAAATGCTTGGGGATACTGAGATGTGAACAAAACCAGACAGCCCCTACCCTTACAGGGTGTACAGTCCAGTTCCAAGCAGAAAGAGTGACCTGTGCAAAGGCCCAGAGACAGGAAAACACAGGGTGTGTTCAAAGAAAGTAAGGGAGGCCAGCTTGCCCAGAGTCTAATGAAGGAGGGAAGAGCCGGGGGAACGAGGAAAGGCGGGGAGGGGCTGGACCACCGAGCAGGGCCTCATAAGCTTGAATTTTATTGCAAAGATAATAAGAGGCCACTGAAGGTAAGCAAGGGCATATGGGTCAATGGAGGAAAGGAAGGGTTCCGTAAACATGGTCTGGGATTGTTAATATACAAGAGAGATGGTGGGCTGATAGGTGAAGGTTATGGCCTCTCTGGCCTGAGGACTGGTGCTTTCTAGATCTCATGGCTCTGGGCCCATGAGGTATGAGGTATGCCCAGCTCCCACTCATCCATCAGGGTTCCCATAGCCCAGTGAAGCCATAGGGCCCAGCTCCCGCCAGTGTCTTGAGGGAGGGAGTTTAGTCCCTGGGGTAGATGAGTCTGGAAGAGCAGAAACTCGGAGGAAGGGGTTGGAGAGAACGTAGGGCAGACAGGAGGCACCTTCACTCCAGACCTCAGCAGGGACAGATGCAGCCCCAGAAAGGCAGCTTGGGAGTCTCCTGGATCTCCAAACGACCCTCAACTCCCAGAGCTAGGTGTACACACTCCATCGCCGCCACTCCTGGGCGCTGCCCTGTCCCCAAGAAGGAAATTCCAGATTTGAGGGACCCCAAGA